TTCGAGGAGAGACGAACTAGAGTACAACCCTCTAGTTATTCAGAATATTTGCAACTGGAAACCGGTTTAGGAACACAACCCCTGGATCAGCTGGTATATTACTGACGCTCAAATAATTGGAAAATCCGAGGAGAATCTTTCCTTGAAAGATTAATATTTGTCAGCAGTGGCTAGTACATTATAGATAGATATTCTGTGCATGACACGGTGGGACAGATTGAGAAAACAGATTGAGAAATCCTGGATAAGTGCATAATTAAGCCCCTAAAATAATAATGGGAGGCCAGCAAAGTAAAGAAAGTAGCCTGCTAGAATCAGGAAGGGAGGAGAAAGAGAGCACCCTGCAGAAGTCAAAAAGGGATGAAAAAGAAAGTAGTTTGCCAGAATCAGAAAGGAATAGAATAGAAAGTAGCCTGCAAAAGTCAGAAAGAGATAGGGAAGAAAGTAACCCTCTGTTATAGGTTATAATCTGAGAGAGGAATTTTTCTTTCCCTGCTTCCCTGTAAGAGAAACTGAGCTCAAACAGGGAAGGGGGAAGGGGAGGCCATTAGCTTCACAAAAGATTTAGCCAGCCTGGCTACATTCCTAGCTAATGGCCCATTGGCTGGCTGGCTCTGCTCGGACGGGAGAGAGGCAGTTTTTTTGCTGGGCTCTCTCTGGAGGACAGAGACAGGGTCTGTGTGCAGAGCATTTGGAGAGAAGGCCTGGAAGCCTGTTTGCCTGACTGCCCGCCCTGGACAGCCCGGACTGCTGATTTCAACTTGGTCGGGGAGCTGTCTCTTGGCCCCGACCCGGATCTGCTGTGTTTCATTGGAGAATCTCTGTGCTCGCTAGGAGGAAAGAGGAGCTTTTGGGACGCTACCACCTGGGAACCACAGTGAGTCCTGTTGGAGGTGAACTGCCTTCCTACTCTTTTCCCTCCATTGAGGGGTGGGGGTCCCCCATCTTCCTTTCGGCTCCTTCCGTGATCTGAGACTGGCCCCAGGCCCCTCTCCACCCCCCCCCGTGGCGGCCGCCGGAGGCCACCAGCGCCCCCTACCGACCACAACAGCGAACTGCAGGCTCTGTGCCTCAGCGATCCAACAGGGCCCCTGAAGACCACAATTAGGACTGCACTAATAGGACAGAGAAGCATTTACCAGACTTTTCGTTTCTAGGACTACTGTATAGTTTTTTGTGTTCTGTTACTGTTTTTAACTTTTTTTTTTTTGCTAACATACATATATCTTTTAATAAAGGGTTGTTATCTCTTCTGTTTTCCACACTTCCTTGAGTAAAGCCCCGTAATTTTTTAATCCACAATTGCTGAGAGAGAGGAGTTTGTTTTGTCCCATAACTCATCCTCTTTAGCAACCTTCCAGTCTCTTCAAACTGAGACATTTTTGGTGCCCAACGTGGGACCTGGAAAGAGGAAAGGTGGAAAAGAATAACTACCCTTTGTGTGAGTTACGCATGTTTTGAACCCCTTGTGTGATTTGACGTGTGTTTTGAACCTGTAGGCACCATGATGCTAGGGGTTGTTGCTTTCCTCTGGCATGTAACCATGCCAAGATATCTGCCCCACCTGTCAAGGTGTTTTAGTTCAGATACTAGTACTCTCATTGCGATAAGTACTTTTGAGATCATGCATTGGGTTTATGATACGGCAAACTCAGCACCTGTGATTTTCATCCGAAATATGTCCTCAAGGATGCGCTACTGTTCTAGCCTAAGCTGTTTCCTCTGGGGTTTTAAGGATAATAGCACCCATTCCTACGGAGAAACACAGGGGAATGTGTTTGCCTAATCCTTTATTCAGTTTCCCTTTGGATACAATACAACGGCCTTTGGCATGTTTAAACCCTCTTTAGATGTCAGAGATGTTTTACTTGTTGGGCTTTCCATCCTAGTTTGTGCCAACACAATATACCTAATATACGCAGCCAAGGCCAAGAATTACCGAGAGGGCGCCCAGACGCCTGCCCCAGGGATAGAAAACCTCGAGTGGCATGGATTATGGGAAGATATGGGTAAATTCTTAGAAAGTTGTTCAGTTCCCACAATGTGGAAGCTCACCCTTGAACAACTCTTGAACCCTACAAAAATAATGAAAGCCGTGAGGGAGAGAGGTCGTGATGGATCCATGGAGAGGCAGTTGGCAGCTGCATGTGGGGCTTTGGCCATTGCTTACCAGAAGTTGCTCGGTATGGTGCAGCATTTTCCAGGAAAAGGAAAAGATGAAACCAAAATGCCTAATACCAAGGTGACTCGGGATAAGGCCAAATCAGAGGGGCAGACCAAACCAACGGAGGTTGCCCCTATCCAAAAGAAGAAATATAAAGCCAAATCAGTTCGCCCAGTTGACGATGATGGGGAGGCAGGACCCTCACAGGCGGCTGCTCCAGAGCCAGAAATCATCACTGAGTCTTTATCGTATAACAACCTCCGGAGCTTACGGACAGACGTTGCCCGTCATCCGAATGAGCCCGTTCTGGCCTGGATGATCCGAGTTTGGGACTCCACAGGTGATGCCATAACCCTTGATGGCGGTGAAGCGAGGTTCTTGAGGTCTATTGCCCAGGATGTGGGTATTGAGGAGGCATTTGTGAGGGAATCTAAGCCCCTGTCCCTCTGGGCACGGCTTTTGGATGGTGTGAGGGAGAGGTTCATCTACAGAGATTCCTTGCAGGCCGATCATTATACCACGAGGTGGAAGACCATAGAGGAAGGGATCCTATGTCTGAGGGAAATGGCACTGCTAGAAGTGTTGTTCGGAGGGGATGGGCAACCCACCAATGATCCTGACAAGGTTAAGTGTACACCCCAGATGTGGTGGAGCTTCACACGTATGAGGCTGTCCACACATAAAGGTTACCTGACATCATTGCAGGCTGGGGAGAAGCGGGAGCCAGTGATGTCTATAATAAATAAACTTCAATTGTGCGACAGTATGATCGAAGGACCACTACAGGCCCTCATCTCCACTGTAGAGACAATGATGAAGGAGTTCAAGGAATTAACTACAAGGTTGAAAGAGAGGATTGAGGGAAACAATTCCCATGTGGCCCCAGTGAGAACCAGACGACCCCCAGCTAAAGAGAGCGGACAGACCTCATGAACTGAGTTGTGGTACTTCCTAACTGACCATGAAGAAGACATGAGACGATGGGACAGGAAACCTACCCGTACTCTAGCAGCCTGAGTACAAGAGTTAAAAGAGAAAGAAAAAGGGAAGTCTGTGAAAGTGAGTGCCATGCCAGTATCCTGTGGGCAGGGATCTGACCCTCTAGAGGGTACCTCCTGTTGGCATTCACAAGAGGAAGATGGTGACTGGCAGGATGAAGACCAGTGTTAGAGGGGCCCTGCCTCTAGCCACGTAGAGGCATGGGACAGCCGTGTCTATTGGACTGTGTGGATCAGATGGCCTGGCACGTCAGACCCACAAAAATACCAGGCTTTGGTTGATACTGGCGCTCAGTGTACGTTAATGCCCTCAGGACATGTGGGACCAGAGACTATTTCCATTTCTGGGGTGACTGGAGGGTCCCAAGAGTTGACCATGGTGGAAGCTGAGGTGAGCTTGACCCGGAAAGACTGGCAGAAACACCCCATTGCGACTGGTCCAGATGCCCCATGTATCCTGGGCATTGACTATCTCAAGAACGGGTACTTCAGGGACCCCAAGGGACATAGATGGGCTTCTGGAATAGCTGCTGTGGAGGTAGAGGCGGCTAAACAGTTGAACTCGTTACCTGGTCTCTCTGAGAGCCCTTCTGCCGTGGGGTTGTTGAAAGTTGAGGAACAGCAAGTGCCAATCGCCACTACAATAGTGCATCGCCGGCAGTACTGGACGAACCAAGACTCTTGTGATCCCCATCCATAAGATGATCCGTGAGCTGGAGAGCCAAGGGGTGATCAGCAAGACCCACTCACCCTTCAACAGTCCCATCTGGCCCGTGCGTAAGTCTAATGGAGAATGAAGATTGACTGTGGACTATCGTGGCCTGAATGAAGCTACCCCACCACTGTGAGCTGCTGTTCCAGACATGTTGGAGCTCCAGTATGAGCTGGAGTCCAAGGCAGCGAAGTGGTATGCCACTATTGACATCGCGAACGCATTCTTCTCCATTCCCTTAGCAGCAGAGTGTAGGCCACAGTTCGCTTTCACCTGGAGGGGCGTGCAGTACACCTGGAACCGACTGCCCCAGGGGTGGAAACACAGTCCCACCATCTGCCACGGACTGATCCAGGTCACACTAGAGAAGGGTGAAGCTCCAGAACACCTGCAGTACATTGATGACATCATCATATGGGTGGACACAGCAGAGGAGGTTTCTAAGAAAGGAAAGAAAATCATCCAAATCCTCCTGGGAGCCGGGTTTACCATAAAGAAGAGTAAGGTCAAGGGACCTGCCCGAGAGATCCAGTTCCTGGGGGTGAAATGGCAAGATGGACGTAGTCAGATCCCGACAGAAGTTATCGATAAGATCACAGCAGTGGCCCCACCGACCAACAAGAAGGAAACGCAAGCTTTTCTGGGTGCCATAGGTTTCTGGAGGATGCATATCCCAGAGTACAGTCAAATCGTAAACCCTCTCTATCTGGTAACCCACAAGAAGAATGATTTCCAGTGGGGTCCTGAACAGCAACAAGCATTCGAACAGATTAAACAAGAGATTGCACATGCTGAAGCCCTTGGGCCCGTCAGGACGGGAACAGATGTGAAAAATGTACTCTATTCTGCAGCTGGGAATAAAGGTCTCTCCCGGAGCCTCTGGCAAAAGGTGCCTGGCGAGACCCAAGGCCGCCCACTTGGGTTCTGGAGCCGAAGCTACAGAGGATCTGAAGCCAACTACACCCCAACAGAGAAGGAGATCCTAGCAGCTTATGAAGGAGTACAAGCTGCCTCAGAGGTGATTGGCACAGAAGAACAGCTCCTCCTGGCACCTCGACTACCAGTGCTAAACTGGATGTTTAAGGGAAAGGCGCCCTCTACACATCATGCCACCAATGCTACATGGAGTAAGTGGATCGCTCTGCTCACGAAGCGCACCCGTATTGGAAATCTGAATCGCCCTGGGATCCTAGAAGTCATCACAAACTGGTCGGAAGGTGAGAGTTTTGGTCTAGCAGATGAAGAAGAAGAGCAGGTGGTACGGGCTCAGGAAACCCCAGATTTCGATAAGCTACCAAAAGAAGAAAGACGCTACGCCCTCTTCACTGACGGTTCCTGTCACCTTGTAGGAACAAAATGTAAATGGAAAGCAACTGTATGGAGCCCCACACGACAAGTTGCAGAAGCTACTGAAGGGGAAGGAGAATCGAGTCAATTCGCAGAGCTCAAAGCTGTCCAGTTGGCATTGGACATTGCTGAACGAGAGAAGTGTCCAAAGCTCTACATCTACGCTGACTTGTGGATAGTAGCTAATGCTCTGTGGGGATGGTTGGACAGATGGAAGAAGGCCAATTGGAAATGTAGAGGGAAAACCCATCTGGGCCGCTGATACGTGCCAAGACATTGCTACGCGGGCAGAGAAGTTGGTTGTGAGAGTTCGCCACATAGACGCCCATGTGCGCAAAGGCCGAGTCAATGAGGAACATCGCAACAATGAACAGGCAGACCGAGCTGCACAAGTCAAGGTGTCACAGGTGGACCTGGACTGGCAGCACAAAGGAGAGTTGTTCCTAGCACGGTGGGCCCATGACGCCTCAGGCCATCAGGGCAGAGATGCCACCCATAGATGGGCACGAGACCGAGGGGTGGACTTAACCAAGGACATTATTTCCCAGATTATCCATGACTGTGAGACCCGCACTGTCATTAAACAGACTAAGAGACTGAAGCCCCTATGGTATGGTGGACGTTGGAGTAAGTATAGATATGGGGAGGCCTGGCAGGTTGATTACATCACACTGCCACGAACCCACCAAGGTAAGCGCTATGTGCTCACCATGGTGGAAACCACCACTGGATGGCTGGAGACGCATCCGGTGCCCCACGCCACTGCCCGAAATACCATCCTGGGCCTTGAAAAACAAGTCCTGTGGCGACATGGCACCCCCGAGCGCATCGAGTCAGATAATGGGACTCATTTCAAGAACAGCTTAGTTGCCACCTGGGCGGAGGAGCATGGCATCAAGTGGGTGTACCATATCCCATACCATGCAGCAACTGCAGGGAAAGTTGAACGGCATAATGGACTGTTGAAAACTACCCTGAAGGTGTTGGGTGGGGGGACATGCAAGCACTGGGATCAGCATCTAGCAAAGGCTACATGGTGAGTCAACACCAGAGGCTCCATCAACCAAGCCGGCCCTGCCCAATCAGAGTCCCTCCACACCGTGGATGGAGACAAGGTCCCAGTGATTCACATGAGGGGTATGTTAGGGAAAAAGGTTTGGATTAACCCCGCCTCGAGCAAAAGCAAACCCATTCGTGGGATTGTTTTTGCCCAAGGACCTGGTTGCACCTGGTGGGTGATGCAGGAAGATGGAGAAACCCGGTGTATACCCCAAGGGGACCTTATTTTCGGGTGAACTGGCTGTAACTGTATAGTTGCATCTGTATGTAACTCTGTATCTGTATTTGTATATACCTATTAGTAGATGTGTACATAGTTAGAATAATGCATGTACGTATGAAGTTTAAAAACTTAATCTGATAAAGTGTGGAAGCATGGGAAAGAAAAATTAGGGGTGGGTAATGTTATAGGTTTAAATCTGAGAGAGGAATTTTTCTCTCCCTGCTTCCCTGTAAGAGAAACAGAGTTCAAACTGAGTGAGTGGGGGGAAGGGGAGTAAATTAGCTTTACAGAAGGCGTGGCCAGCAAAAGCCGAATTCCTGGTTAATGGTCCATCAGAGACTGGGGGGTTGCTGGCTGCCCTCACACAGGACAGTTCAGTTTTTGCTGGGTGCTCTCTCTCTCACTGGAACAGAGACAGGGTCTGTGTGCGGGTTCTTTTAGAGAAAAAGCCTGGAAGCCAGGCTTTCTGGCTTCTCGTCCTGGTGAAGCCGGATCACTGCTCTCGACTGGTTTTTTTTGCACAGCCTCGTGACTCCAGGCGGACCTTGCTGTGTTTTCATCGGAGAGTCTCTGTGCTTGCTGGGAGAAAAGGAGGAGCTTTTGGGACGCTATCAACTGAGAACCACAGTGAGTCCTGTTGGGGGTGAACTGTTCTCCTCACCCCTTCCTTCCATTGGGGGTAGGGTCCCCCATCTTGTTTTCAGCTCCTCCCGCGACCCGAGAGCAACCCCCCAGACCCCTCTCCCCGCGTGGTGACTGCCAGAGCCCAACAGCGCCCCCTGCCGACCACGACAGGGAACTGCAGGCCCTGCACCTTCAGCGACCCATCAGCGCCCCCTGCAGGCAACGACAGAGTACTGCAGGCCCTACACCTCCAGTGATCCAACAGTGCCCCCTGCAGGCCAAGATTAGGACTGCACTAAAGGACAGAGAAGTATTCGCTCAGATCTTTTTTTTTTTCTAGGATTACTGTCACGGGTTTTTTTGTGTTCTGTTACTGTTTTTGCTAACTGTCCTGGTTAGAACGGCTGGGACCAATTCATCCCTGGATGGGTGTAACCCAAAACTGTGTATTCTATAGCCTCCATGCCATTTCCCAAAAACTGCTGTCAGTAGAGGCCTGCAAGGTGGGAAGATGTTCCTGTACCCTTTTATGGAATTCCCCGCTCTGATATCCTTATATGGAATTCCCCGCTCTGATAAGAGGGACTGAGCATCCACATGCCCTTTTATGGAATTCCCTACTCTGAGGGAGGGACTGAGCACTCCCGCCTGAACTGGAGAGTATATAACTGGGAGTTTCAGAGCCTTGGGGCTCTCTCTCGTGGGACCCAGAGGAAGACAGCAGACCACCGCTGCTCCCAACCAGGCTGAGACCACCACCCTCAACTGGACTGCAATCACCACTTCTGACCAGACTGCAGCAGCTCTCCCACCAGCAGGTTTATCCCCTCTCCCTTTGCTTTGGACTCGGGGGGTGGGCCAAGGTACACCACTTTTGTTCATACCCCAGGGTGCTGGGTTTGTACATTTGGGTTTTGTGGGTTAAAACCAATTGTCTGTCTGTATAATTGTACTTATTGCATTATTTTAATAAATTGTTATTCTGACTTATAAATCTCTCTTTTGAATTGAGTTCATTTTGCCTTGCTGGTTAACTTTTAAACCAGCAAGCTAACATACATATATCTTTTAATAAAGGGTTGTTATCTCTTCTGTTGTTTTTCCACATTTCCTTGATTAAAGCCCCGTAATTTTGAATTTACAATTGCTGAGAGAGAGGAGTTTGTTTTGTCCCATAACTCATCCTCTTTAGCAACCTTCCAGTCTCTTCAAACTGAGACATTTTTGGTGCCCAACGTGGCACCTGGAAAGAGGAAAGGTGGAAAAGAATAACTACCCTTTGTGTGAGTTACGCATGTTTTGAACCCCTTATGTGATTGACACGTGTTTTGAACCTGTAGGCACCATGATGTTAGGGGTTGTTGCTTTCCTCTGGCATATAACCGCGCCAAGATACCTGTCACACCTGTCAATGTGTTTCAGTTCAGATACTAGTACTCTCATTGCAATAAGTACCTTTGAGTTTGTGCATTGGGTTTATGATACGGCAAACTCAGCACCTGTGATTTTCATCCGAAATATGTCCTCAAGAATGCACTACTGTTCTAACCTGAGCTGTTTCCTCTGGGGTTTTAAGGATAATAGCACCCATTCCTATGGAGAAACACAGGGGAATGTATTTGCCCAATCCTTTATTCAGTTTCCCTTTGGGTACAATACAACGGCCTCTGGTGTGTTTAAATCCTCTTTAGATGTCAGATACATTTTACTTGTTGGGCTTTCCATCCTAGTTTGTGCCATTATAACATACCTAATATACGAAGCCAAGGCCAAGAATTACCGAGAAGTCATCCAGACCCATAGGATTGGACACTCCTGCTCACCTATTCCAGCCTGGAGACTGGGTCTATGTTAAGCGATGGGACAGTGAACTCCTGCATGCTAAGTGGAGAGGACTGTTTCAAGTTCTGCTAATCACCCTCACCGTAGTCAAAGTTACTGTCAAAGGACAACTCAGAGTTAAGATAGTTTTTGCTTCTGGAACAACTGGAAAAACAGAGACTGATACAGATGAAGATGATGTAGTTTAAATTGTTTTTTCTGTGTTTATTACCTGTACAATCGGTAACCATGACTCAGGTTTGGAACTGAAATTTGCACATGGGTCTAGTCCAAAATGTATCCAATATTCTTCATAAAAATAACTGTTGGATTTATACTCAAATGCCAACAATTGATGAGGATAACAACTGGCCTTTAATTGGCGTCTTAATGAATGAGACAAACATTAGTAAGGACCCTGAATTCCAGGATCACTCAAATATTTTAGCATCTGGAAGTTGGACACAGGTCACTTAGGCCTACATACCTATAGCCCTAAACAGCTTAATTCCTGATCAAGAAAGTTATGCAGTTCCCTGCGTGATTGTTAATGTCACAGGAAAGATCATTCTCCCTCCATATTGTCATAAAACTGAATCTAAAATAAGGCTAGCACCAGAAATTAGGATTGGCACAGATACCCTGGAGAATTATTCCCCCATAGGATTCAGGATGGTATTGGATAAATAAAAATGAAACCTGGAAATTTTTGCCCCTTGATAAAGACCAGGCCTGTGCTCTTTGGGCTATAATCCCAAACACAATGATATTTGATCAAATTAAAGAACAAAGTGGGTGGATAAGAACTTATGTAAGAAGGATAAAAAGGTCCAACAATCCCCTTGTTGAATGTCCCACGACTTTTCACAGTATAATTAGGGGTCTTATTCCTTCTTTAGGAGTAATTGAATTAGAAAAAGCAATTGTTAACATTTCAGCCATTATTGAACATATTGAAAAGCAGACTTCAGATGCAATCATGAAGTCCAATGGTTTGTCTCATGTAGTTCTGCAAAACAGAATGGCTCTCGATTTTTTATTAGCCTCGCAAGGAGGCCTGCATACAGTCATTAACACCAGTTGTTGTTCTTATATAGATCAGCATGGAAGAATTACTAAAGATTTGGCTGAAATT